GGCACCATAAGGGGGGCGGGTGGCAGCAGTGGTGGTGGCATCAGTGGTCGGTGTGGCGGTGGGGGCAGAACAAAGTGTGGGCCTGTCAAGAGGTGAGAGCCCGCGGCAACGTCAGACATCAGGCCGAGTCATTGCAATGGATCTTGGTTGTGTCTCTGCTTCACTCACTGGCAGCGGCTGGGTGAGGCGCATACATACGAGCAGCGGCAGCAGGGGCAGCAGTCTGTTGGGGACGTACCAGCGGAGCCGATGGTGCCAGCCACGGGTGCTTGAGGGCCTGCACGACCGAGGGACGCACAACATGGGAGAGACAGATAGAAAGGCATGGCATCAACACACAACATGGGATTGAGATTGTGCCATTTTTGGTCTTTCGTTTGTCTGCCGACTGGCTGACCTCCTCTGCTGATGCGCCACTGAAAATGGACACAATAAGGCTGAGGAGGTCCCTCGACGGCGGCTCGGGAAGCTCATTTGCCAGAGCGGCACGCACGCCGGCTTCTGTGCGCTGCATTCGAAAGAATGGCAGGCAAGAAGTAAGGTGAGTGTCTCTCAGACAGCCGTCTGGCTAATCATTATGTCCTCATACCTGAGTGACGGCGATGTCCTCTGCCTTGTCGGCGTCCACCCCCATCACCCGCAGCAGCGCGACCCCTGCGACATGGCAGACAGACACGTGAAGCATCCATTGTGCGTGGTTTAGTGAGCAGACGTACCTGCCCACATCATGTCCTCGGCGGCCCCCTCGCCCGACTGCACACACACCAAAGACACCAAAGAAGGACAATGATGAGCCAGGCAGCCATCCAGGCGGCTATCCATCGATCGATGTCGTCGGTGTGTGTCTCACCAGGTCCTCCTTCATCAGATCTAGGTCTATCAAGACAGTCGAATCGTCGGCCCGTCTCATGAGGTTCTCAGGTTTGACGTCGTGGTGGGCAAGGTGGCGGCGGTGGAGGTACGCGAGGGCTCTGAGTAGGTCTCTTGTTATTGTCTTCGCCTCGCCCTCCCCCACGCAGCCACCGAGCTCCCACACCCCCTGACCTGCACACACACATGGACACACACACATAGAGACAGAGAGAGACGGATAAACGAGTTGGTCAACAAGTCTTCTTGCCTTCCTCTTCAGTTACCCTCAATGAACTCCATCAATATACACGTCCGACCGGCGCTCGCCACATCAAAACTCTCGAGGAGCCGTACAATGTTGGGGCAGCTGGCCAGGCCCTTCTCCGCGTAGAGGCGGTAGGTCGGCCGGAAAAGCCTCTGCACACCACAGAGACACGGACATTTGAGTCGTGTGCGTGTGCTGTGGCCTATGTGTTGCTTACCCCGCCTCTCGAGTATTTCTCGCCGAGGACCTTGGCCGCTTTGCCCCCAGACAGCTTCCATATCTCGGCCTGGGCGCCCCTGGTCAGCTTCCCCTCCACCTCCAACCCATAGATATCATGAAGCACCCCCTAGATCTGTGTGTGGACGTGCTTCTAACCGCTCACACGTCGATTGATGTATCAAGTCACTGCCACTTACATGAAGCGCGCACGCCTACTGGCCATTCGCATGTAAAGAGTTCGGGGCAGCAAAAACCGCAGCGGTGTTAGTCTCGCGGGATGCAGTGATACAACAACAACGGGCAGGCAGATCATAATGTGCTTCACTCACGCAGGGCACGCAGCAGTGAGGGGAAGTAACGGGCAACACGAGTCAGTTGGCGATGGATGAATGCTCGTGAAAAATCAAATCGAGTCAACTCATCGACACACCGAGACAGACCAAACACAAGAGACTCCTGGCATTCGTGCATTGTAAAATCAATCACACGCAGCAGATGACCATACAACAGATTGGCCTTACGAGCATCAGACATAGCAGATCGAGCATGGATGTAGCGAATATACGCAAGGGGTGACGACAAAGGAAGGTCGAGTAAGTCACCGTTGGGGTTGTGCTGAGAGAGAGTCTCTTGCGACTTATCGATATGAATGTCACAACCGACATAGACCCCAGACGCATCCAGTTCCAAGACGCATTGCTCATGATAGAAATCAGTAGCCATCAACCGCGACACCACATTCGAATACGCATGTGTGTAATGGGAGGGAAAGTAGTCGATGGGTGGCAAGATCAGCAGCCGATCATCCATCCATCGACGAACAAAACACAGAGAGAAAACGTGCCGCTCATTCGGAGACAGTGAATGGATGAATGTGCGCTCTCTATCCGCAGCAAACAGGTGAGCAAGGCCAGGGCTGATGTGGCTGCCCTGCGAGAAGCCCTCACGTTGATAGGACAAAACACCGCCGACACGAGTGTAGCTAAAAGCAAGATCATGCTGGACAACACGAACGATATCCTCGATTGTGTATGTACGATATGACACGTAGTTGGCTTTGGTGCTGAAAAACGGCTTGAGACGCGTGGTAGTAGCACTACGAATGGAACCAAAGCGAGAAGGATAGAGACGAGAGCGAGCACTACGTACGACAGGCCAGGCAGGTTCTCGAGGTATGTTCACAAAACGATAGCGCTTGGTGTCTTTCAGCCAGTTGTACGCAGCATACAATGCATTCATCGCCTCCGTACGAGGGCAGCTAGGATAAAAATTACCAATGTCATGCACACACACAGACACAGACGACGACAGCGATCCACACAATACAGCATGGCCATGCAGCAGGCGGTTGTGTGCAGCGAGCGCATGAAAGAGAGAACTGATGCGCATGCAAGAGAAATGGTCAGACATACACTCATTCAACATACTCAACGCCCGCCCCACATCCGCATAGATACGAGCAAAACGATGACGAAAGTAAGAATTGAGTGGCCGCCACTTCATCGCATCCCAGGAAGTCAGCTGTGCACGAAACGACTTAGCCTTCGGCCATACGATAGCCGTGCCCCACGTGTGATGCACACGGGGTTGGGCGATACGTGGGCCGTCCAAAAACTTCGGCAACTGACTGAAGTCCTCATTCACCACATCATCATTACATGTAGAGACGCGATAGCATGGGTTACTGACATGCAAGCGCCACACCGCATTCACATACTGCATCGGGCACATCCACGCCATGTCCCCTTTACTCTTATCGACGGGAGCACATGCAAGCGAACGGAGGATAGCAGAGTGGCGCAACACATCATGCATTGGAACGAAACGACCCGACTCGGCTATCTGATTATATGCAGGACGTAATATAGACTCAGCGCATTGATCGATGACACGCACAGGTGGTTCTGGCTGTGATATACGACGAAACAAACGCAACACGACAGAACGGAATTGACGCTTGATGGCTGAGAAAGTAGGTAGACACGTACTGTTACGATTCCAGTGCAATGGGACGCGCAAGACATCGCGCATGAATGGATCACTCAGGCGCACACAGACATGCCCATCGATGCGTGGCCATTGCGTAAAGTGAGGCAGGTGGCATGGACAGACCACTTGTGAGAGGGTCTGTGACGCCATTCGCTTAGCATTATAGTACAAGGTGGTCAGGGATGGACACGCAGATGGAATGAACGCTGCCTGCACATGGAACAGTGACGATGACGCAACACCGGACAGGAGGTGACGTATGGTATGAATCGCGGCCTGGCGGAAACACGACACATCATTCAACATAAGAGGAACATGCAAACGGACAAGTAGCCGTGGCCGCCATAGTCGAAATTGGTCCCGAACACGAATAGCACGACGAAAGGCAGATTCGAACCATTCCCAATGCACACCGGACAACACACGCAGACCGCATACATACAGACGGCACTTGTCAGTGTCAGACAATCCACGAATCGCAGCAAGGGTGGCCTGGCT